CCATTCATTCATATTCTCACTTTGTACCAATTTCATCAACACAAATACAATGCAGCAATTTATTTTATGGAACAAACAATTAGCTGCTATTTTTAATATATATATTCTACATGTATATAGAGAGAGAAATGGGGTTTAACGTCCACTCGACACAAACTAGGTCATTTCGGGAGTAACATATGGTTTAATTTGATTTCAATAATTCGCTTGCACTTAGGGGTCTTTAGCAGTGGGAGGAAACCGGAGGACCCGGAGAAAACCCACGAGGTTGGACAGGCGATACATGTATATAGAAGTACCAGTATATATGAAAGGAAATGTAGAACAATACTATAATAATACTAGAAATTGTGCAAACTTTGAAAGAAACTGCACTGGAAAATGTTTCTGACCTGAAAAGTTCTGATATAAATATCTATGGTAATTAAAGAAAGTTTTTGCAAATATTCAGGACATATTGCAAAATTCTCTGGGAAAGATGTGACCACCACAGAATAAACATCTGCAGGAGAAGGCCGATTCACCAAACTTTATTTAGCATGATAACAAACAGAAACTTACAAAGTACAGATATAAATGTTGTCAAATTTACTTATACTTTTCCAATTGAAAGATTTAGATGTCCTTCAGTACATGTCTGAAAATCTCCTCTCAATATCAATTTCTACAAAATGGCCAAGACAATATTGGTCTATAAAAAGAACAATTTTGATCATCCATAAAATAAAATATTTCCAGAAATGAGTTGGAAAACAGATGGAAGCTTGGAATATAAACATGTTCATAAACTTGTCCATGTTCCTACACGTCTACTCAAAGGTATCAAAAATTCCATTAAAGAAACCACCCCTGGTGTTAGAGAAAGAATTTATTAGTAATATAAACACAATGAGGTAAGTATGTAAATCCTGTATGTATTATTAGTGGGGTTATCTTCTCATGTCACAGTAGTTTAGTGTATAACATGTTTACATAAACTCAGGTGTGTTTATGAACTACTGGTGAACATGAAGCATCAGTTACCATCAATGGTGCCATTGGTAAGAACCAGATGGCTAAAATTCCAAGTTTTTATGACTTGAACTAACATTCCATATTCTATTAGGTAGATGTTATCTTATGTACATGTACTAAAGGTTAAACTGGATCAAAATAGATCCGCCATTCATTTACATGTACAACATTGTAAAAATAAAACATAAGGAGTTTTCATCAAAAGCATTGCTGCTGGTATCTTTAAGTTAATTTAAATATCATGGAATATGTGTGAAAAGACCATGTCCTCTTAGCTCAAGTACTGGACAAGTTTTTCTGTGCAATTAGTTTATAGCATTTTAGCTAAGAATTAAAACAAGATGTAATGATTTGGAATAGACTTTACACATTGAGCAGGCAGAGCGTGGTTCTAAGTGACCCAGCCTTCCTAAAAGTGTGCGTCATCTTGCATACATGGTATTTTGGAAGTGAAAGACAAAGTTCAAAGACAAGGCCTTCTGCAAATACCCTTGTAGTCTTACTATAAAATAATGTAACTTGGGACGCACACATCATTGATTTTTTTTACAATACTGGGGACTTCCTATCTCAATCTAAAACCTTATGGAGTCAAGCAAATTGATTGGTTTAAATGAAGAAGTTTTAAACATCTGATTTTGCCCTTGCCTACATATAAGCACCACCTCGGCAACATACTACCAAATTTTCAAATGTCACTGGTTTAAGACCAAAAGGTGTAAACTGTTGCCAAAATTTACAGCAGAACAATGTTCCACTTGCCATATATAGCTCTCTTCTCATCTGCAAACTTTTAACACCATGTTTTAAAGTGACATACTGATATATAAGAACCCGTTTTATGTTTTAACCCATTTTCCTTATTTTTTATATGCGGCCTTGATATGTAAATAACTTAATTTAAGGGATGTTGGATGGCCGAATGGTTAGCATGTGCATACTGGTAAGGTCGTCATTGAGTCAACTGGCGTGGTTTCGATTCCCCGGTTGTAAGTGACAAGGAGTGGGGTTACCTGTCCAACATTGTGGGTTTTCTCCGGTTTCCTCCCACTGCTAAAAACCCCTACACACAAGCGAATTATTGAAATAAAATTGAACCACATATTAGTTCTGAAATGACCTAGTTTGTGTCGAGTGGACGTTAAACTCCATTTCTCTCTCACTTAATTTAATCAACCTGTCCATAATATCATATCACAATATATTGGACATTAAATTTGTAATAACAAGAAGATTTCAACAAGAATGAATAAGCATCTCCTGAAAGCTCTATTGCCTTGTCCTTCAAATTGACACTGATCTAAGAATTTTGAGAATGTATACCCTAGCCTGGGGATATCACTTGAATTAAATTCTGGCCATGATGAAAAAATTCAGGTCTTAATGTCCAAATTATCTTTGGTCTGGATTGGTGATATCAGAACGATTTAACCTTTGACCAGATGGCATGACACTAGTTGTACTCTCAAGGGAAACACCCACTTAGCCTACTTGATCTGCTTCCTATTAAGGTCTTTATTTAACACCAACCAATAAATTACATAGTAACCCTATTACCCCATCTGGATACTTTTTCTCTCTAAAACGAAATAATTACGGATGCAGTGTTTCTTTTTTCCGTAAACTGTTTTTTGGTAAATATGAAAACATCCTGATGATTAAATATCTAGAACACATGGTAGGAAGAATACCAATATAAAATTACCAAAATACATTAAATAAATATATACATGTACTTGAAATTTTAATCACCTCACTTGTGTCACACTCGAGTTGATATTTATGTAAAAGGTTGTTTTAAAAATCCATAATACCTTATAAATTTGCTTGAACCGCAGTAGCTTGGTGAGTAAGATTCATTTGGATTTTCCTGTGTGCTTCCTCCTTGTCAGAAGTGGAGGACGGAAGGCCTTGCAAGGGACATTTAGTCTTTTGGATAAGATGAAGAACATTGGTGTGCATGCAAAAGAACCCTTGACAGATGGAATTCAAAATAAGAATAGGTTGTAGTGCTGTTGTCCGGGCAAAACATTAAACCCCATTTCATTTCACCTAATAAATTTGCAAGGGTTGCCATCATTTAAAAATATAGTTAAAAAATTCCACCCACAAATAATAAGATTCATGTTAAATAAATCAGTAATAAGATCTGTCTATTGTTGTCATGTTCATTCTTATAGTTCATCTGGCCTGAAAACAATGCCAGAATTCCTGATGTTACATTTTGTTCTTGAAACCATGATGGGTCCATTATATTCTACTTCATAATAGCTATACATGGTTCCAGCACACTTCTGCTTCTCTCGTTTACACATTTGTACAATCATTACCACGCATACCATGCTCTACATGTTATTATTACTCACAAGACATGTTTTGGCTAAAATGTCCCAGTTTGTTTTCACAGCAGACAGACAAACTTTTGTTTTAATACTGTATATTTGAAGCTGATAGTATCCAAGTATTCAAAATATTTGGACAGGATTTAATATGTAATTCTATAAAACTTTTGCCAATTATTATTTTATATAAAGTTGATCCGATCCGTAGGGATTTGTTTCCAAATCCAGCTATTATTAGTCAACATTATTTGCATCAAAACTTCTTCTTAAACTATAAAATTTCAACACCAAAATTAAACCCTAATATAATGACACATTTATCAAATTGTCTGTAAGATATCTTCTGTTGGAGAACTCAAGACATGGGGCATGATACACAGCAGTGGTAAAGAGTATCTTATTGCATCTATCTCCCCCTGTTGTGCTTATCACAAGACCTGCTGCCAACTTAGGATAAAGAGAAGTAGGGAAAGGATATCGTTTGTGCATTTTATCAAATATACTGTAAACATAGTTGACAAATGATGAAAATGGAACTGATCTTTCAACAGGATATACATCATAAACACTGAAAATGTTTTTGTAAAGAAATCTAATATTTAGTCTTGGAAAAAACCCAAGGAACACCAAAATAGTTTTTGTGGCATTTGATAAAATAATAAATTTAATTTTCTTTTTACCAATAAATGTAATAATAGACCATTTAAGAAAGGATTTCACTTGAAGCAATTCATTATTCAAAATCTATTATTTAAGAACAGAAGTAAGAAACAATGCTTTCACTCAGCAATTCTTTAATTAAAATGTCTGTTTAAGAGCAGAAGTAAAGAGACATGAGAAGTTAATTATATTACAAGTATTTAACAGACAACACATGGTCATCATCATTCAGCTAAAGGGCAATCTCAATGGTCAGTGAAAGATGAGGTGAGTTGTCAATGTTGCCACCTTGTCGCTTTCAACAGTGTCCACCATTAACTACACTAGACAGTCAGATTAAAATGAGGAAACTTGATGCTGTAAAAATGTTCCTAGATTTTAGCCCATTCAGTCGCTAAAGTTGAACTGGTTTAAAAAAAAACCCAGTTGAACTTTGTCGTCTGAACACAAATGTAGGGCAAATACACCAGTTAAAAAAAAAAAGGCTTTTTTTTTTTAAACTGACTTAAAAAAAACCTGGCTCCAGCTCATGGCGGTGCCATACAGTTCCATAAGCGTGCAAGAACCAAATAAAGAATTTGAATAAAATAAAACCAAGTACGAACAATCTAAACCATTAGACAAAATGCGTAGTTAACTGGCTATAGTTAAACTGGCTTGACTTATAGTACGTGTGAATGCAACACGATGCTGTCTTGAAAACCCAGGCCATTTTGAACTGGTTTAAAAATACGCTCTGAACGGTGTAGAAGACTGGGCTCAATTAAATAACTGGCTATCCACATCTATTTGCATGTGTACAAGTCTGAAATTATACAGGAATTTGACATACATTTAGGCTGGCATTAACAGATACATGCATCACATTAGCATTTAACTTTGTCCAAATACTGCTGATAAAGTTGAAACATATCATATAAGCATATGTTATATATATCTGTGTGGGCTGAAAGCATTTTTTTATTATCATTCCTAAATTTACAGATGAGTGTCAAGAAAATACAGAATTAGCCAAGCTGGTCATTGAATGTGAAATCTGTAGGCTATCAACTTTCTGCTGGGGAAAATTGAAATCCAAATATACCCTAGGTGCTAAATACAGAACACAAACTACATGTATAAAGAAAAATTAAATGAATTCAGTACATTTTCAGTGTAATAGGGTTGAACTTTACGGGTGAGATCTAACAGAGAGAAACTTAATTTGTGTCTAGAAGCTGGATCTCTGATTACTGAGGTGATATGTGCTAACAAACAGATATCACTAGCTTATCATTATGTAGAACCCGATACAGATCATTGGAAACATGATAGTATGATTTTATCTCTTTAGGCATTCAATTATATTTACAGGGAAATATAGCCTATAACAACACTTCCAGGCAATAAATATAATGGAATGGAAAGGGGTTTTTAATCAATGGTAAAATCCTATATACAATGAAATGAACGCTCATCAACAAATGTAGAACTAATAAAATGTTTAGAAATGAAATGGGGTTTATCGCTCTACTGTTCTGCTCCATCTGCGTAATGAATACTGGCCTATGCCATCCATTGTGCTACAATGGAAATTTTATCCGAACAGCAGCACTTCGACTTACTTTTATATCGAATTCAAACTGCCAAGATCTTTTACATGCAAGCCAACATGCACACGTGACCCTAAATTTTTCGTAACCCATCCAAACAACTATGTTATTCCTTGCCACTTGCTTTCACATTGTACTTTGCACGGGATTCAAAATTCCTAAAATAAAAATCTGCAGCTTTAGTTAAATTATAAAATGAAATGGGGTTTAACGACCTACTGTCCTGCACCGACTGGACATATGCCATAGTGTTCTATGAGAGAAATTTTGTCCGGACAGCGGCACTACACCTACTCTTATATCGAATTCCAACTGTCAAGGTATTTTTTACGTGCAAGCTATGTGTACACACCACCTCGATTTTACATCCCATGCAAACAACTATACATTGTCCCTTCCCAGTCCCTCTGTCCTGCACCACTGACAATCCACTGACACGGCAGAAAATACTGATGAACTTATTAACCCACAAATAACTTCTGTGATCAGTTACCAAATCTAATGCCAAACACTTTTACGATTCATTATTTATATCAACAAATATTTGATTTTAAATTATTCAACACTTGACACCAACTCAAAATTGCCATGAATAAAACTTCCATGTCAACTGTTTTGCCCCGATACAAATTTGATAAACCTAATTGATTTGCCAGTGTAAACATACAAGGTAGCAATTGTTGATTTATCAAATCAATGACTTACTTGAAGACATCTGCACAAACCTAATGCTGTACCACACTATAACTGCAAGTTTATTTATTTTACTTAATTTTTCTAGGAGTGCCCATGGTGTGTTGGACCAATCAAGTATCAACAAACAAGAAGCTACTCTACTATAGAAGTATTCAGTTCTTCAATAACCAACACAGAATCATTAGTCATAGCTGGCTATATTCACTAGTTAAAACACATACTGTAATACCACTTGAATTAGACTGCGGTAGCTGTATGGTGTTCTTGGAGGTGGGGGAAGGGGGGGAACGTCTTTGTGGACTATATTTTCCTTCACTGGGTAAACCCTAGTCCACTAGTTTGAGACAATTGTTAAGATATATAAAAGTAGGCAAGAGCAGTAACTTTGGCAGCAATAACCAGATATTGCTGAAATTAAAGAGGTTTTGTTACACCATGAAAACTGTCTCATAGAAAGCAATTATGAATTCACAAAGTCAAACTCCAAAAGTTTACAGGCGCGAGTTGTGCATGTGCAGACAACTTACTATATGACAATGAAAACAAGCCAACAGTGAGGCTGATGTCCCCCGCCGAAATTGCAAAATAAATAGATGACACATATTAATTAATCGCACATTTATTTTTTTCACTAAGTTTCATCACTCTCTATCAGAAAGAATCAAGATTATCTTGTCCCAAACCATCGACAAATGAAATCGATTAGCTCTGCTTAGCTTCAGCTCGAAATGTTAATTATTGAACTCAGTCAAGACATTCACCTAATGAACATCTACATATACATCAAGTTTAAACATTCACCTAATAGACACCTATGCCAAGTTTGAACATTCTACCTCAATTAGAAGGAGAGTTATTGTGTTCCAAAGTTTCTACCAATCAAATTGCTTATCACTCTGCTTACCCTCAGCAAAAAATGTTCATTATCGAACTTAGTTAAGGTATTCATATAATAAATCTATACACCAAGTTTCATCAATCTCACTTAATTAGAACTAAAGTTATCGTGTCCCAAAGCATCAACCAATCAAATTGCTTATCTCTGCTTACCCTAAGCGGAAAATGCTCATCTTCGAACTCCATCAAGGCATTGACCTAATCAACACATACACCAAGTTTGAACATTCTAGCTCAATTAGGAAGAGAGTTATCGTGCCCCAAAGTATCAACCAATCAAATTGCTTATCTCTGCTTACCCTAAGCGGAAAATGCTCATCTTCGAACTCCATCAAGGCATTGACCTAATAAACACATACACCAAGTTTGAACATTCTAGCTCAATTAAAAGTTATCGTGTCCCAAAGCATCAACCAATCAAATTGCTTATCTCTGCTTACCCTAAGCGGAAAATGCTCATCTTCGAACTCCATCAAGGCATTGACCTAATCAACACATACACCAAGTTTGAACGTTCTAGCCCAATTAGGAAGAGAGTTATCGTGTCCCAAAGCATCAACCAATCAAATTGCTTATCTCTGCTTACCCTAAGCGGAAAATGCTCATCTTCGAACTCCATCAAGGCATTGACCTAATAAACACATACACCAAGTTTGAACATTCTAGCTCAATTAGGAAGAGAGTTATTGTGTCCCAAAAAGTGTGACGGACAGACAGACAGACAGACAGACGGACGAACCCATTTTAATAGTCCCCTGCTTTCTTCGAAAGGCGGGGGACAAAAAAAGTTTCAACCATCAAATTTTCCAATTTAGATCAGAAAAGTGATGTTTTTTCAAACCTCCTTTTATTATGGCACATGCCATCTGCACTGAGGATTCTGTGGTTACAACCAACGGTTTGGTGTGATTCACAATTTCTTTTTTCAACAAGCCAACAAAATTTTGACTGCATCAATATTTTGAAGCTGTTAGTGCACTGTGTGATATTTGCTAGAAGTGGCATAACATTTAGGATTGGGTTGCACTTGAATGTGAAAAAATTATTTTGGGTTGAAACTTGCCATTGGCTATTTGCCAAAAGTCTCCCTCGTTATTGGTAAATGTGTAATGTAAAAAAACTTTGTAGAAAAAGCCCGGATTATATATTGTAAGGATAACCAGCTGCTGTACACTGAACAGAACAAAACCACAAAATTATGTTAAACAAACCAATAGCTGATATAGGGAGAGTAATCTATAGTTATAGTTTTCATATTTATCATTTAATCATTGAATCTGAAATTCTGAAATTTTTCCCAATCATGGCAAATGTAAACAGAAAGTTCAGATTAGAAGACATATATTCAACTGTTGACAAAGGTTGGGAGAAGGGTTATAGGTTAGATAAGTCCGCAGTAGACTTACTATTAGAAACTCACAAGAAATTCAGATGTTAACCCTTTAGAACCAGGATCACCAGTGTCACTTGAACATACATGTACATTGTAGTAAACTTACTCTGTCTATAGTTAGCTATTTGAGAACAGACATTAAGCTGGTTGATCGACATTTTAGTTACTAAATCGACGATTTTAGTTAAAAACACTTATGTATATGGTACTTCGAGAATTTTGAGAGGTATTTATTTTGCTTTCAATTTCATATATTTATTATTTAGTCTGTGTATGTATGAAACAGTATGAAATGGAGCAGAACCGCATTACAAAATAATATGCTAAGCTTTGGATATGGCGGCCATTCCAAGCAGAGATCTATCCTCAAAGTAGGTGTGGTGGCCAAAAGAACTAGTATGCAGTCCAATATGGAGAGCTATTCACATAACCCGGGTGGTCTTGGGGGGAAAAGTAGTTTCGGGCAGTCCTGGGATAAAAAATTATAAATCATATCACTCTTCGGTAATATTTTTTTAAAATAACCACGGTAGTAAATATTTACATGTACTAAGTTTTAAAGGGTTAAAATAAACAAAATGCAGACTTTAGCAACCAGTCTAAAACGGAGATGTTTTCCTGAAATATATTAACAGGGGTCACAGTATATTGTTTCATGGTAAGCTTACTACATAAGACTCGGTCAAATATTACATTTTGTCAGACTCTTTAATAAATGATGATGTCCTTGAATGTCTAAAGTGTAATTATACCCAGATATCAAAACAATTCATAAAAGCTTTGTGTTATCTTATCGGTGCTGATCATTAAACAGTGGGTTTTTTATTTTAAAATAAGCCTTGCAAAAATTAACAAAAAAGATACCAAAATCCAACTTCAGTTAAATGATTTAAACACTACGCATGAACATATTTGATTCATGTCAATTAACGCTTTTGCCTACATTTATGTTCTCGTCGGCGACTTGGTAATGATATAAATATAAAACTGAAATAAAACGGCGTTTAATGTCCTAATACAAAACATTTTGCCAATAAAATAATATCTCTAAAATCGAACGCTCTGTTATTATTACTCCAACTTGTCACTTTGACATGACGCAACGCAGCTCAGCTCGTGTAATCAATCGCATCATCGAAAATGAGTTTGTCAATAACACATCTAAAAAAAAGTTAAAATTACTAAGGAGAGTTTGCAGATAAGCGTATCAAAAATGAACTTACCGAAATGCAGTATGTCTGTTGTTTGCAAAAGTCTTTCACTGTAAAGCAACAGTGTTTTTTTTTTAACTTTTCAAGTGTTGAAATATCCTCTCTATTGTTTCTAGTTTATCCACTATTTGAGCTAACAACCGGCTTCCTTCTCAGTTCAACTCGAAATGTATCAAGTAGCAACCGAGCTTTAGCGCGTCTAATGACATCAGCTTACCACGTGGTCTCCAGCCGACATGCACACGCGATACAGGCGAAAGTCGTCTGGACTCTTTTCTGTTACGTGACAGAACATGAACGAACCGGGGTCTGTTTTCAAAATGTATTTGATTAATTTAGGTATTCTGTATTTTGGATGTTTCGCATCTATTCCAGAAATGTGGATGCTTTTATTTTAGATCAAGTTGTGTATCTTTGTATAATTATGTACATGAATGTATCCTTTGTTTCATGTATATTTCTATTATTTTTATTTGTATAATAATATCGACATAAACCTTGTAAGGTTTTTCATGCAGTAAAGTTTCTTCTTCTCTTAAAGACGACCAACTTCTCCATATCTGATGTTTCAATTCGTTTTTTTTGTGTTTTTTTGGGGGGGGGGGGGTGTTTTAGATTGTTTGAAATAATGTGCAAGAACAGATAAACCAAAGCATGATTTGTTATTTCATTTTTCATTGGAATAATGTTCAAAATACCTAGGTCGTTATGGACAAAACTTTTCATAATAAACTTGGGAAATAAAATGCACACGGTGTCAAAATTTTAATCCGGCTCTCAAGATAAATTTAAAGTTGTAGTTACCTATAACGGGACAACAATCCGCTAACTGACGGGTCGAATTACAATCGTATGGTGGGGGGTCACACACTGGTCCGTAGTGTGACACGAAACGACGGTCAATAATCATCACATTTCAACCACTTAAAATACTAAGTTACGGGCACTTCCAATGTATGCAACGACTAGATTTGATGTCACTTTGATGTCACGAAATGAAATGATGTGGGAGTTTAACCGGGATAATTGAAGATGAGAATTTGTTGCGACGTCGAGGCAATCAAAAAAATAATGGACCATGGGTGTTCGGGTGGCAATTACCAAGGTTTATCAGTGTACACATTGATGTTCACGTAAAAAAAACACTTGCCATTGACAAATCAAAGAAGTTTGGGTGGAAACGCCTCTGTCAGTGTAAAATCTTTTCTCCCCCACATTCCAAATTATTATTTTTATGACATTAAAGATGACGTCGTGAAATCAAAATAATATGCGCCAACGTAAACTGGACTAGTCGAATCGGGGTTAAGCAGGGCCTTAGATAATTTTTATTTTTGCATGTTGCCACAGTTCTGTATTCCATATCACCTCTTTTATTATTAGCTTATTATTAAAATTCGTCAATAATCCTGCACGAGCTTTAAACAGATGTAATCTATAGATTTGAGATACACGAGAATGATTAGGTTTTATGCTAATAGGCCTATACAATTCAAGTCTGTAAATGTGATATGAAATACATCGCAATGAGATACCAAGCTGATATTCCATAACATAATATTCCACATAATGTGAAAGTGGGTAAAATTGGGGTTCCATCAAATTTAGAAAAACTAAAAACCCAAATACATTAAATAAGCTGACCTCAAACAACAAAGTGCCCTAGACAAAAACTGTCAATTTCAGAATAAGGCATCGCAAATATATCAGCGTTTGGTCTCTATTCAGATGCAGAATCAATCAGAATGCATTCTTCTATTTGTGTAGACTATCGATTGATAGCTACTGTCCAAGACATGCATCAGGTTGCTTTGGAATTATCTGCGTAATTTTTAGTTTGACGTTGGCCTATAGTCTAATGGAGTTTTAATTCTCACAGGGCAGATAAAATTTTGCTTTTGAAATATTTTACCAGGGAATTAACATGCTGATTTATCATTTGAGGACAGTAGCGACGTGGCATGCGATGTAGACAAGCGTCTGCCGATTTTATTTTATTAATATCACGTTTAATTTCCATAGAAAGCAGGACAGCAAAACGCAAAAAAGTAAATAATCAGAAACTCCGACTGTACATAGACAAGACAAAATATGCCCATATCACATTATTTATTTACAAACAGAACTTAAAAGGATTTTTAAGCAGGAACTTGGAATCTAAATATCTATTCCCCAAAAATCAGATATCCGACAGAATCTTTATTCCGTTAATATTTATTTCGCATTTAATTATTTATAGTTTCGTGTAAATTTATGGGGAAGTTGTCAAGACTTATAACCACAAAATTAAAGATGCACAATTTTTATATTTTTATAAATGCATGTGTATTACAACTTAATTGGCACGAATTGGAACAAACAGTTCTAAAACAAATGTCTTAAGTATTAAAACAAATAAGTTCCATACAATATGTGTAGCTTTGAATAGGAGATCAAGAAATATTTACTACATGAAATTATTACAAATTGATTATCTTATTGTTAAAGCTAAAAATGACGTTGTATCTATTTATTTTCTCTATAAAAGTAAGAACGTTGGTCGTTTTAGTTTTTTCGATTTGGTTGGATTGTAGTTTTATTCTCGTCTATAGTATACACTATAACACTATAAAACGTTGGCCTTCGCAAGTCTTTCTTTTCAATTTTTTTTTTTTAAGTTCTGTTTATAATTAAATATAAACAGCTACTGAATGGTGTACATATGAGGTGTAATGAATGTATTGTGATGAGGAGTAATTATCGTTATGTCCACACTGTTGTTTGTTTAGCTTCATCATCTGGCTAATTAAGTGTCTTTCATCACATAACATCTTGCCACAATGGAGTTACGTCACATGTCACTGCCAGTCAACAAGCCTGGAGGAAAAGAGACAGGCCGTACCCAATTACCCTGAACGATTACAAACATTCTTCACATTGTTTCATCTATAGTGTTGAATTCTCTAATTGTCATGTTAAGAAAGAAGTTCGACATACTATAGCCAATAAGTTGTAGAAGAAACGACATTTTTAAATTCAACTGAAGTCGAGATGACCCCAAGTGAGGTTTTTTATCGATCGATTAGGCAACTATTGCACAAAACAAACACGATTATTTGTAAACACCAACATCAATACGGTCTACCTCGGCCAACAAGCAACATATTTTCTATTCAGTTTTTTTCTTCTTTCGTCGCTGTCATATAGATCTTTGAAAAGACAACAAAAAAGAAGATACAAATCAGCAATTTGTAGGAGCTATATGACCTGGTTACGTTATGATTGCATTAAACAGCTGCACAGTCACAGCCAAATTTGTAAGCCTAAATACCTCGCCCATGAAGAATTGTTTGATTTGAAGTCTATTGTTAGCTCATACCCGAATTCTTTTCTTGGATGTAATATTTTAAATCGGTCTAAAACGTCTACACGTTTTACTTGCAATGCTAAACTTGTTCCTAGTTATTTGTTATTTCTGTTTTCAGATAAACGTCGAAGAGCCGACTTTTGTGGGATAAGCTCCACGCTGCTGCCCTCGCAATTTATCTAAAGCTTTACATACTTCACAATTCAACGAGAATATGCAGCGGTTATAATCTATTTGGTTGTCATTTTCGTGTTAACGTTAACTTTTAAGACAGCCACGTCTTTATTCTTTTCAAGAAGACGATTCCTACAATAGGTTTCACACAAAAAAAATAATTAATAAATCCCAAAACATGAGAAAAAAAGAAAGAAATATAACACATAAAAAAACCTTTTAAAATGTGTGAATAAAAAAGGAATTGTAATCAAAAAGTGAAAAATGTCGTGTCCTTTTGAATGAAGTTAGTCCCTGATAGACGTTGTTAATAATATGCAAAATTTTATATAAATTACACATATTTATAAACATTTTCTTTTTCCACGATTTGAACTAACATGTCTTTCTATATTCGCATGTTTTGTCAATCATATATTCATTATCGTGTTCTTTTTTTACCAAAAAAATTGTGTTTTTTTTTGTTTGCTTGCATTAGTTCTGATTTCCTTGTCAATTCATGATTTAATATCATTCAAATGGTAATAATGATAATACAGGTGCAGTAACTTTTATATTTTGAAAATAACCAGAAAAAGTAACGAAAAAGAGAGATATTTTCTTCCTATAAAACTCAAATAGACAATATTATCCGACATCAGCCTATAAGAACAAAAAAAACCCTATTCAGCAAATGGATATTACTCAATGGCTAAAATAAATAACAATGACAATGGACAAACTTGGGTTGGATCTAAAAATTAAGGCCCACTGCAGATTTGGTCAAAGGTCACGAAATGTAAAAAAGGCTAGCACTAACCCTAGTCCATAATCTCGCCAACAATTTTTAGAGGAGTTTTGACAAAGCAAAACTACTTCAAGATCTGGAGACTAAAGGGGAACAAATCCGATAAAGCCCTTACACTGTAAAACTAGTAATTCTCACCCCGTTGACTTCAATGTTAAATCCATGCAAATTCTTGGCCTGAAACATTTATTGAACATTATGATCTTAGAAGTTAAAACAGTAGAGAGGAAGTGTTGCTACCATAAGACGAACTACTCGAAATCAGTCACAGGTTTCCCCCTTCACTTCAATGTTTACATCTTGGCAATAAATTTTGTTAAAATATGGCTAGCATAAATGACCATTTCCATAATTTGCTTGAGTTGGGAATGGGGAGGAAGCCTCACATGACCACACACATGGTGAAAGTACTATTGAATCTTTCTAAAGCATATGGTATTCAGTGGGGATCCCAAACAAACATATTCTTTCCTCTTGTAAATTTACTCATCTATGAAATAACAACACAATCGGATACATTTTTTGTTTATTAAATTCATAACAATTTGTCATTAAAAATAATACTTAAATGTCACAATTATTGTCTTTATTGGTTAATACTTATTATAAGTAAGTGTTTTTGTCTTATTAGATTCCATATAGGCCATACTAACAAAATATTGTGGTTCTCAGACAATGCTTCCAAAAAATCTGACACTGGAGGAAGGTTTTTATTTTGCCATGATCAAGTGACTACTGGGCTAAATGAATTCTCACACTACATTCCAAATCACTACATCTATCTCATCATGTCGTTTATGGGAATGTATGATTATCGAGAGTCATTCATGATTGTAACATTTATCGGGGTTGCGTACACTTCAAATTTGAGCTTCCTGTAACCAAGGAAAATATTTACACGAGGTTAAATTGAGATTGTTTTATTTTTTGAAAAGATAGGTTGCCAGACAACGAACATATGCCAACAGCAGCTAAGTCATCTGAGCCCTATATAACGTTTAGTATATCAAACATTTAATATCAATGGCCATAACTCTGGAAGTAATTATGGGAAATCACTGCAAATCAATAGGATTCTTCGTCTCATGGCCTTAGACACTGTTTTCAAAGTGATCAAAGTCCATAACTCTGACAGTAATTATCAGAAATCATTGATAATCTATAGTGTTCTTCGTCTCACGACCTTAAACACTGGGTATAAATCGGATATTGACTTTAGCCTCTAGAGCATCCACAAGATTTTTCAAAGTGATTAAGGGCCATACATCTGGCAGAGAGTATCGAAAATTGTTGAAAATCAATAAGCTTCTTCGTCTCATGACCTTAGACATTGTGTATAAATTTAAAGTCAATCAGATAATAAATTTCAATGTGGGCTTATATTAAAAACAGATCCTCCAACTCTTTTTAAGTGCAGGGAGTATCTGAGAACCAGAATATTTTTTTCGTATGGTCTAATAATCTACAATCAGCTTAAAATGTAAACATTGTTTAAACATAAAAACATAACAATTTCTTAAACAATTCATATTATGATTACAAATCTATTATTCTATGCTCAGATAAAAATATGGCACCATTTTGTCTCTTTGTTAAATTTTAAATGAACATTTTAGAAGCATTTCTTCTTTTATAAATGATAATTACAGGTCATGACTGATTTATATGATTACAATTACATTGTGTATGATTAATAGCCCATCTTCATAGGCCTAGTAGGAGCAGAAAAATAGGATGTTCATTCACTGGTGATTTATAGTTTGACTTTAATAATATATTTCATTTAAAAGCTTGCATTAGTGGCTTTATGATAATCCAACTATTTCTTCTGTATCAGGGTCAATATCAATATCATAGAAACATGGTCTTGTTGGAAGTCCTGGCATAGTACTCATCTGAATTAATGTAAAAGAAAAAGTCATATTAAATACAGTAAAAACATTTTCAGAATACCAGAGTAGACTATATAGAAGATAATTTAAAGCCAAAACAGTGTTCTAGACTTCAATTAACTAATTCCAACACTGTCAATGTTTATTTGGTGTACAGTTTGCAATGGATGAATGATTAAAGAGTTGCATAATACAAAATTTGGCATTATCTACCTTATGACTATTATGTAAAGATTATCCAGTATGCTTAAATTTCTGTTGATTTTTATACTAATTTTGATAAAGAGATCAATCAAAATATTAAATATATCCTTTGTCCTTGAAGGCTACCCGGTTTCTTGTACATTTGGTTTTTACACCTCTAATTTAAACGGAAATGTATAGTTTATGTTTTACAATATAAGAACAAAATTTCTAAACTAATTTACCAAATAAGTATAACTTTTTTGGAAAACAATGACATCACTTGTTTATTGCTTATTAAACAAATTCACTTTTTTCTGATGCCAATTTTAATCCAATAAAAAAAAATAAATATAAAAGGTTTTACTTACCGTTCCAATTAAAGGATAAATAAATCCGGCACCAATACTGGCTCTAACTTCACGGATAGGTAGAACAAATCCTTTAGGTGCTCCCTTTAATTCAGGTTTATGTGATAAGGATAGATGTGTTTTAGCCATACATATTGGTAGGTCATTAAAACCCTGAATAGCAAAAATAATCAATTATGCGTCTTTAAACATTCTAAAATAAAGCGCAGGAGGACCACACCACACATGAACAAAACCCATGAGACCAACCCTGTGGACAAGATGTACAGACCATAATATTTTAAGCCATAAACAGATATGTCAAATCATATGAGGGAATCTGGGGGCCAGTAATATATTTCCTAAGATAGGCACATATGTCAAATTTTTTCTAGCAAAATAAGCAAAAATAAGCTACCTTAAAGTCAATCAGATAATAACTTTAGCGTCTAGAACGGACCAACAGGTAACGACAATATACAACCACATTTCAATGTATATACAGACTATAGATATTTTATTTTTATGTTTACCCAGTGGACTAATGCTATAAAGCCAGAGGTTAGTTTGATAGGATCACTCTTCATACAACCCAACTTACCTGTTTTTGGTATCTAGCTATTTCTTCCTGTGCTTCCGGAGAAAGATCTATACCATCAGCACCATAAATTTCTTTAGCTATAATTTCTATTTTCTTCTCTATGGGTAACTAGAAAAAATATTCACAATACAAATATTGCAACAAAATTCATCTCTGTTGCCTCAATTTTGCTATAACAATGGTAGCATGAGATCAAAGTCAAAATTAATCAAGTATTATTAAATAACCCAAAGTATAATACAGTCATAAACTTGATCAGATCATTATCAATATGTTTATTCTCTGGATAAATCATTCGAATCAACTTACTGTGACATCATAAAGGAATTTAAATTCACTTGATTTCTGACTGGCTGCTGCCACAGCTGCTGCTAAGTCAATAGCACCTTTCCCACCTTCTGCCCACAGATTGCAAATAACAGCATCAAATGCTCCATTTTCTCTAGCTATCTTCTGGACTAATTCTAATTCACCTTTGGTATCAGATCTACAAGTATAATAAATGCATTTATAAAAAGCATGGAGAAAAGCTAACTGTCACAGACAATGTCAGGCACAAATCCAGGCTTTGTAAGGCACAAGTCCTCTAATGCCTGTCACTTTGTCTGGCACAGATTGTTGTTGTTTTATCCTTTTTTTAATGATATTTACAATGCATGTCCTTATCCTTTTTTAATGATATTTACAATGTATGTCCATCACAAAGTTCATAATGTCATTGATAGTTTGTCAGTACAAACTAAAATCATTATATCCAGGTCTGTTTATTAATGAATAGTATCAAGGTATGTCATATTGTGTCTAATATATGATAAATCTTCATTAGGAACACAGACACCCAAGGAAATTCCACAAAAATCTACAGAAGAGGGCATTCAAGTTCAAGCTATGGAAAAAAAAATGTGATATTTTGAAGAAACCTATTTTTATTTCATTTTATGTTTCTACTCCAAGACTATCTCTGGGATTTAATATAAGTTAAAACTTACGCAAAACCATTAACAGCTACAACAACTGGTACACCAAATTTATTAGCATTTTCTATCTGTTTATTCAGATTACTACATCCTTTTTCTACTAATTCTAAATTCTGTAATATAATACATCAAAATGACTTAAGACATTAAGGCCATATAAAGAATTATTCTGGTTCACTTAAAGATAGGTTGCCAGGCAACAAAATATATGCCCACAGCAGCTAAATTGTCTGAGCGGCTGACAAGGGTTGTCAAATATTTATTCTTTTGTAGGTAATTGGGGGCATTTACAAGACAGTTTCATACAGATCAGATTATAATTTCTGTCTTTTGAGGGTTTCACAAGGTTCTACAAACTGAAACAAGGGCCTTAACTCTGGAAGTAATTTTCAAAATATTTTGAAATTTGACAGGCTTTTTCGTTTAATAATTTAAATAGTGCACATAAATTTCATTCAGATCGGATGATAACTTTTGTCATTCGAATGTTCACATGGTTCACAAAGTAAAACAAGGGCCATAACTCTAGAAATAATTGATGGCAATTGCTGAAATTCAATAGACCTCTGTTTCACAAATTTAAATGATGCATATAAATTTCACACATATCGGATGCTAACTTTCATCAATCGAGCAATAACAAGTTAAAGTGAAATAAGGGTCATATTATTGTCAATTGTAAAAACGCGATTTTTCGTACAATCAGGGGCAATAATTCAGGAAGTTACGGGCCGATATGCGCGAATATCGAAAGGATCCAAGATCTTTGGGTTATAAACTTACATTTCAAGTTTCAACAAAATCGTATAAAAATTGTGACCTCTTTAGGGTCCACAAGCTAAAAACGTGATTTTTCGTACAAACAGGGGCCATAATCCATGAAGTTTCGATCCGATACATGCCAATATCGAAAGCAGCCGAGATTTTTTTGGGATAAAGCTATATTTCAAGTTTCGTCAAAATCGGACAAGAATTGTGACCTGTAGAGAGTCCACAAACAAATTGTGGACGGACGGACGGACAGGGGCGACGACAATATACGTCCACATGAAAATGTGGGCGTATAATGACGCATATAAATTTCATACAGACAAAATAAATGGAAATTATTGAAATTAAATAGGCTTCTTCATAGCACTAATGTAAACTACATATCAATTTTAAAACAATCGGATGACAACTTTTTGTGTTAGAGCGTTCACAAGAAATTGTGGACAACGGATGGACTGACGGAAAGACGGGGGCAACGACAATATACATCCACATTTCCATGTGGGCGTATAAAAACGGCTGCATTAATTAAAATTACTGCATGTAAATATTTTACCCTGGTCTCAGTAAGCAACTCTGTAAAATATTTGAATGAAACCAAACGATTGAATTTATGATACTGGATAATCATACATTCCTATAAACAACATGAGATAAATGTAGTGCCTTAATATGTGATGATTATAAAAGTCATTTAGTAGTGATCATTTGACAAAATAAAAACACAAAAACACAAAAACATAAACCTCCCTCCCATATCAACTTTTTGAGAAGGACTGTCTGAGAACAAGAATATTTTTTTTTTGTATGGCCTAATATTACCTAAAAGGTGTTTATACAAAAATGTATAGAAATTAATGCAACCCACAGTATCATACTCTGTTTGTGTTTACCATTATGTCAGCACATTACTTTGGTCATTTTGAGAGTAATATACCATTATTTCAGTTTAGAATGACAACATGTGTAATAGGCAGGAAATTTGGTTTCTGCCTGCAGTTTTTGAATTCAAATCGACACGGAAGATTTCTTTTAAATGAACATCAATGTGTGCACAGACGATTCTGGTTTTCAAACCCATCCAAATCATAAAGCCTGCAAGCAAGTGGGAACTGGCTTGAAAGAAAAAATGTTCTTTTTGACTCGGGTATGGGTGGGCTCTTGCAATTTTAGTTTATTAGTGATTGAATACCACCCAGCTATTCTAAAGTCAAAGCATTAGCTTAGAGATTTTTCTAATAGTATCATTCATACCTCTTCAACATATTCTTTAGGTAATGGAACACCAGCTGTTACTGTAGGTCCTCCTCCATGCATCTTTAAAGCTCGTATAGTGGCCACTAACACTACAGCATTAGGTACTAACCCAGAATAACGACATTTAATATTAAAAAATTTCTCCATACCAATATCAGCACCAAATCCAGCCTCAGTTACTGAAAAAAAATTTCAAGCATTTAACCAACAAGGTTTTGGACAATCTGTTGAAGACTGAAAGTTGGTCATCCATAACATATAAATCTTTCTACAAAACTTGCTAAAATTCAAATATTAATGATAACACCTACCCACAATGCCATCTTCTCCGACTAATTTTAAAGCTATTTTATCTGCTAATATAGACGAGTTACCATGTGCTATATTAGCAAACGGTCCAGCATGGACAAATACAGGTGTACCCTACAAAACAAAAAATATATTACATGAAATGAAATGAAATGAAATGGGGTTTAACGTCCTACTGTTCTGCTCCTAAACTGGGCTAATGAAGACGGGCATACGCCATACAGTGTGCTATGAGGGAAATTTTGCCCGGGCAGTGGCACTATCGCCTACTCTTATATCGAATTCCAACTGCCAAGGGATCTTTTACGTGCATTCCAATGTATACACGGGACCTCGGTTTTTCGTCTCATCAGAAGGACTAGACAGCTGTCCTTGTCAGGCCCTCCGTCCTGCATCACTGACAAGGGGGAACCACACCGGAAAATGTGGATGAACTTTCTCGGCCAATGCAGGGATCGAACACCCGACCTCCAGGTTAGCGAGCCAGCGTCTTACCCACTTAGCCACGTGATCCCCTAATATATTAAATTGAAATCACAAAATAAAAACAACTTGGAAAAGAACATGTTAATTTTTATGTATACAATGTCATATGTGACCTGGTAAACCAGACTGGATTTAGAAATAGTATAATTAAAAGCCAGCAAAATAAGTCCAATCTGTCTGAAGCATTCAATATGTTCAATACTCAGGATAACCAGGTCTTGGCAGCCTGTTTTATCTTATATACAATGACTGATTTGCTATACAATTGGCTGGTAACGATAAATCAAATAACGGACAAACCTCTAATGTCTGCATTAAATTTGGTCTAATAGCATCTTTCATTAATACTGTTAAAGCACCACTAATACCCTGAAAAATAGATTTACAAAAATATTTTATTTCTATTCTCAGGAAAATATTATTTAAGTTTTTCATTGTTTGTTACATTCATCTTGATTAAGATGTTTGCCTGATTATTATGTATTAGGCTCTAGCTTTAATATCTAGACTCAATATGCTAAAAACAAAATTCGTAAATCTAATTCCAAATTATCTAAAATGATGATTTGTTTTCAAAACTCATAATGGCAATTACTGGGACTCAAATATATGAACACAAGCTTGCATTTTAAAGAAAAGATTTCATTAATCTACAATATATTATATACTATTCAAAAAAAGTAGGAGATATTTGATTTTTAAGTGTTATTAAAGTCACCTAATGAAACTGACGAAGAAACAAATGACAAAATGAAATGAAGTTCACATTCATCGATTTATTCCAAATGATCGTTAGACTAAGTAAGGCACAGACTGACCATTATAAGGGTAAAATGATACCCGGGGTCAACCAGCAAAGTTACCACAGCATCACAACCAAGTCAGTAACGGGTAAATCCTCCTCTGTTTGCCAAACAAGCATTGATCCGACGTGGCATACTCCTAATGAGACGTCTAAGGTCATTTTGGTCCAGATTGTCCCATTCCTGTTGCAACGCAGCAGCAAGTTCTTGGACATTGGCAGGACGTTGTTGACGTTGACGTAACCTCTGTCCAAGTACGTCCCAGACATGCTCGATGGGGGAGAGGTCGGGACTCAGTGCTGGCCAAGGTAATGTGGTGATGTTCTGTTGTTGGAGGTAACCTGTAACGATCCTGGCCCTGTGACATCTTGCGTTGTCATCCTGGAAGATGAAACGGCACAACATGGACTGCCAAGATGTTGTCCCGGTAGTACTGGCCTGTAACACGCCCTGCAACAACATGTAAAGCCGTTCTTCCAGCAACAGTGATGCCTCCCCACACCATAACAGAACCACCCCCAAATCGATCATGTCTGATGACGTTAACGTCTTGGAAGCGCTCGTTTCGACGACGCCACACCCTCCTACGTCTGTCCAAAAAATCAACAGTGAACCTTGACTCATCTGAAAACATCACATTGCTCCAGCGTCGATTATCCCAGTGATGACGATCCCTACACCAACGACGTCTTGCCTGAATGTGATGATCTCTCAAACAAGGGATCATGCGAGGACGTCGGGCGCGAAGGTGATCCCTATGCATTCGATTCCGAATCGTCTGGCCACTCACTCTCACACCAGCGTCTGTTTGAAGACGAGCGCTGATCTGATTTGCTGTGATGACACGATTTCTCAAGGCCAAGGTACGGATAAATCGATCCTGGGCTTGAGTTGTCGCCCTTGGTCGACCTGAGCGTGGTCTGTCCTGTACAGATTGTGTATCACGGTATCTGGACCATAGTCTGCTTATGACAGACCGAGAAACATTCATCGTCCGCGCCACAACCGCCTGTGTTGTGCCGATCTGTAGCATGCCAAGGGCACGTAACCTTTCATTTTGGGTAAGCCGACGCATATCAAAATTTGTTTTCTGGTCACTAAAACAATTAAACTGATGTTTCCACCCTGGAATTCAATGCCACAATGACTGTAACATTCAAAGTCAGAGTCGTGCAAATCTTGGGTTGGACCCCCATGATGATCCCAAGCATCACCTGCATTCCATGCGGTAGCTATTGGTGCGTTTGGGCGTCACATGTAACTGGAAATGTTTCTTCTGTTAGGTTCTATAGTGACTTTTTTCGTAGTCATTTGCATATTTTAGTATTATGCCCCCAAAATCAAATATCCCCTACTTTTTTTGAATAGTATATATAAATACTAACCAAATCATCGGCTGTAATAGGTACTCCAGCCTTACTACTAGCTACAACCATTTTACCTAATCTCTCTCTCATATCACCAAGACCAGTAGTTAAAGCTAATATAGCCATAATTTCACTAGCTACAGTTATATCAAACTGGGTCTGTAAAATCAACAGTATACATTATTACTATGTGTAAGAAATAGTGACTAAATGAATAACTTCTAAATATTCTCATTAATTAATGATAATTCAGAAGAAAAGAGTTTTTTTCTGCAAAAAAATATTGGTCATATTTGGCAGACTTCATCTTTCATGATTGTTCTACTTTAAAAGAATGAACGTATTATCTTATTCAGTACTTAGTGAAAACAAAGAGTCTAAATGGGCATTACTGTCCATCTGTATTTAAATTCTATAAACTTGATCTCTGTCTATGTTGCCATCCTTTGATCAAGAGAAAAGATATAAATTTTCACTCATATTTTTATAGTTACAACAAAATCAATCTTCTTACATGATAATGTTTAAATCTTATAGAAGAAATATCTGATTTGAACAAATCTGATTAATCACCACCAGAGTAACAGAACTTCCAAATTGAAAGTGTCTAAATTTACCTTTTGCCCCACCCCTAGTGAGCCCAGTAAATTTCTTGTCATTTGTTTGTACGACCTACTATTGTGTTGTTCATGAACTTTGACTGAATTCTCCAGGGATCAATTTACATGTAATGAATAATAGTTATTCAAACCTCAGGTAACTTTTCAGAGCTAAATATTTCCTTTTACCTTACGAGTATGACCTTTTTCTTGAGGTCCCTGACCAACTGTTATTTTTCTTAAGAATCGATCATTAGTATCCAGTACTGAAATTGACAAAAGACATGAAAAATATGATAGAAGGCAAGCCACCATTACTATTGCAAGTTGTTGCTGAGGAAAATATTATTTTATTACTGACCGGAATCGGCAGGTCAAGTCAATAAGTGTCATGGTTGAGATGTCAATTATTATGGAATACTCCACCTAAGGTTTGATTTCTGCTCCTTTGGTTAAGTCTATGACAAAAATACAAAACCCCTTTATATTATTACACTATCATGCAATAATTAGTATTTACATAATAATAATCCAACATAATTTCTTTTTTTACCTCTCTGCCACGTTATTGTATCAGGATCTATGTCTAATCTTACAAACGCACTTATTTCATCAGATGTTAAGGCTTTTGGATTAGATTGGGTTATTCCTAATTTCTAAAAAAATAAGAAACACATGTTAATGACTAAGGATGGATCTCATTTGAGTAATATTTACCAGTCAGGACTGGCATCAAAATTTTGCAGCTTTCAGTCAATTTACATGTCATAAAATAAGGTGTTTTCAAAAATCACCAAAACTTGCCGTAAACATTCAAAGAATGGTATTTGCTGAATGATTTTGGTTAACATTAGGGAAAATGTCTTACTCGCAATATTCTGAATTATGTCCAAGTGCTTTTTTTGTGAAAATATCTAAAACTAAATTAAATCACCTGTAAACGGCTAAGTTGTATTTTACAGAATCCTTTCTTTGCTGGCACTAGACGTTTATATAAGGCCTCGTCATTCTGTGTTGATTCATGGAACATTCTGGCTTCTATTGCAGCTGCCATTAAGTTATTAGCTGCAGTAATAGCATGTATATCACCAGTCAAATGCAAATTAAACTCTTCCATTGGTATGACCTGAGAGTAGCCTCCCCCTGCTGCACCGCCTGTTGGACAAAATAAAAATCAAATAAGATTACTACAAATCATAAAAATAAACAGCAAACATTGCATAATAAGGTCAATTTTTGCTTGCTGTAGGCAGATATTCACTTTGCAAAACACATTCAATTTGTTTAAACAGAATATTTTAATTTTTTTTACTAAAGGGGTTGTATTCTTTTAAGATATGTTTAAATGACAAAATAGCTAGTTATATCCTTAAGTTAAATTTACAGACAGTCAGATTGATTAGCAAACTGACCAAACTGTTTGATCTAGATTCTGGTTAGGTATGGAAGACTTGTGTCTTCATTAGCCCAGTCGGTGCAATACAGTAGGATATTAAACCCTATTTCACTTCATTTCCTACATTTCAGTCTACCCAGGTACTATTGTGGTCAAAATGAACATTACAGAAATATGATTTACTAAGAGTGAATTTCAAGGTGTTGGAAGTTAAAAATATTACCTTTGATGCCAAAAGTTGGACCTTGTGATGGTTGTCTAACACATGCAAAACAGTTTTTGTTGAGATGTGCTCCTATTGCTTGTACTAAACCAATAGTTGTTGTACTTTTACCCTCTCCTAATGGTGTAGGTGTAATACTAAAAATAGATACCGAATTCTGGTAGATTAGACACACTTTCTATACCTATTGGTGAGACCACAGAGTTTTCAAAATCTCTCAGAACAAAGAGAAAACACACTATATTAAAGATCCTCAAATATTATAACAAACATCTCATGATTTTGAACATTATAAGTCTTGTCTTGTCAGGCCAGATTAAGACTTACAAATAAGACTTAGAAGACTTACTAAAAAAAAAACATACTCAAATTACCCTGTAACAACAACATATTTGCCATTCTGTTGGTTTTTAAGTCTGTCTAATACTTTGAGAGACACCTTTGCCTTTTTCTTGCCATACAAATCCACTTCATCTGACAATAGATTTATCTCCCTTGAAAGTCTGTCAATGTCTTTTGGAGTTTGTGCTTGGGCAATTTCTATATCACTGAAAAAAATAAAGAATAACAATAGATGTACATATACAGAGTAAATACTGTTGACAGAGAATCCATTTTAGATACTTGTACAGCTATATACTTACAAAATTGAACTTTTAAAATGAATAGATTCACATTTAACGTCTATAAAAACTTTATTCAAGTGATTCTGAGATTAACACACGATCACTACCATCTACTATGGCTATCTATGTGCGTAACACTATTGAAGAGAACTTTGCCTAGGCAGTGAAGGTTCATCCTAATTTGTTTTTTTTCACATGTAGTGTATGCGTAGGGTCTTTTATATTTTACTATCAGAAAGACTTAGACACACTTCTACTGACAATTTGGAAATGAATTTGATTAATACCCATAATTCTCTAAGCACATAAATATTTCTTTAAGCTATTATTTGAATTGTTTGACAATATCAAATTTTTCTAGCATCTCTTGTTTCGAACTGTCTTTCAAAAATAATATGTTATACCTTGGTACTGGAGTCTTTAGATGAAGCTTTAATGGTTGTAAATTCCATTTGGCACAATTCTGTAAAGAAAGATGTTCTTATGTACATACAGAATCATTCATTCTGAAATAAGACAAGAGTGGCTTCCATGGATTAGACTTGGAGAGTTCCTCTGGAAACTCTTTGTTAAAAGTTAAAAAAGGTCTAAAAACATGCATATCAAAACAGACTCTGGGGTTGCCACAAAAAAATTAATGACATTTAAAGCCAAATATTAAAACTATACATAAAAAATTGCTACAAACACCATTTTAAAAAACTACAGTGAACAGCCACATAACCCCCTGCTGAGGCCCCTGCTGATTGTAAAGCCCCAGGCTGTGTAGTATGTTTAACTTTATCTAAGACTGACATAGGTTACACAACATACCCCAGTCATTTCTGCTGTTCTTTTTGCTGAATCTACAGTATTTTGAAGCAACATCGCTACCGTCATTGGTCCTACACCACCAGGTACTGGTGTAATCCAGCTAGCTTTTTCTTTCGCCCCATCATAATCTACATCACCAACTAATCTCTTTCCCGATTTCTTTGAAGCATCTGAAACCAATTAATCAATACATATAACACATTGACTTTGATTATTGTTTTCTACAAACTATAGATGCCAACATTAATTTGCTTTACATCTACGTACCAATACATGAAAACAAATTCTACAAAGTGAGCAAGCAAGGATAATAACTCTAGAAGTAACTAACAACTAGTGCAGAAAAGTAGTACGTTAAACGCCACCTCATGTTACTAACGACAATTTGATAGGCTCCTTCATTTCATTATTACCGGTATATATATCTATATAAATAAAATATTTTAAAGAAAGACGCCAAAAACTAATATTAGGCTAATACTTTATGTTCAATCTGAACATCCTTTAGGCCATTAGTATTATCGGATGTCACCGTAACTCTAGATGTAAGTAACAGAAATTGTTGAAATTCAATATGATACTTGTTTCATTAACTTCAACAATGGACACATAGTACAGTTCCAAAATTAATTTCATAAATAGCCCTTTGTTTTCTTCAAGAATTTTAATAGTAATCCATATAATTAATCTTTTAACTTAAAAGATGCATGTAAAATTTAGATAAAGAGCTGGACGTTCCTGCTATAGTAGTTCCAAAATAGATAATGAAAAATGAATATATTGAAATTTCCATTCAAATTACTTTATTATTGTAGCAATGGTACTGCAGGCATTCTAATGCATTTAAATCTCTGCTATCCGATGACCTATATAGTTAATTATGGGCTTGTCATGTTAATAAATGTCTAAATAATAGTTTATATAAAATTTGAAGCCAATATAAAGACCTGCCAATAGGCAGACTTAACTCTTACATACTGCACCCTTAATTGTAATAGGGTACAGAATAAATTCAGTTAAACTAACTCAGACAAATAAAGCTAAAAATTTCAGAGAGTAAAGAAACAAAGAGAAGTTTGAAAGAAAAAAATGAATGGCAATTTCTATAGCAAAAAAGTTATTGACCGTCATGGTTGCTTGACTATACTGACTGTTTATTATTCAACCAAACAAACATTTCGAATTTAAAGCCTCTATTCAAATACTGAGTATTAAGATGAATTATAAGTTCCCAATTTACATGATGTGGTATATAAAAAAAAATGATAGAAATGTTTGGTAAGTGAATATGAGACAAACAAGTTCATTTTTTTTTCAAAATAGGAGGTAAGAAGAATAACAGTTATACTGTTCAGATATCACAATAAACAAGATGTATTTGTAAATGTTAAAAAAAAGACCAAAAATAGTATAATGTTGAATATTTCCATTTTAGCAAATAATTTATATATACCGGTATATATATGTATATATAAAAAAATAACTTACTTTGAGATAAAGTTTTAGAAAAATTCCTAGTCAAGACACCCAATAATATAGGTCTATTAATCACTATCTGTCTACATGCCATGTGCAACATGTTTGTATTCTAAATAGTAATGATCACGGTATAGAGCACTCCCTCTCAAAATCCTCTATACAAAATGTCTACATTATATAGTACCGGTAGTAGGATAATAGAGGTTGTTGTCGGCTCTGCTTGGGTGAATAATGAAAACCACTGGAGGGTGAAGAATTCTCTTTGTTTTAATTTTATTATGTACAATTATCAAAGATGTTTACCCCCATCTATAGAGGAATTTTTGGAGGTGATAAACCACAAGAAACCCAACATAATAAACTAGTGTCCCAATCAAACAATAGTTTATACCTAAATGTGTGAAAATATTTTAGTGTGTGCTAAAAGAAACTAAGACTAAATTTTAAGGATAAAGATTAAATGCCTACTATTGTCACAATAGATTCTGGGATATTTTAATCTAAATCTTATTTATTCTATAAGAATTCATTCAATCAAACAATTCCTTTAACGTCTCTGTCATTTTAGGGGTTTGGGATTTCTGGCAAAGTTGAATCAGTATCAGAGGAGTATCAGTCCAAACAGTATTTAATTCAATTCACCATTTACAAAAGTATGAGGAAAAATTGTCAGCATTCTCTGCAGACGAAATAATTGTGATATGGTAAAAACAGGCCAGTCTTAGATTAAATCTGTGTTGATTAGCGCTGGATATTGCCACTTCAGTCACGATGTGATATGTATTGCAATTTATGTGCTATGATACAATTTGTATTATAATTCATAACCAAGTCAATATCTATCAAGAAAACAACAGGATAAATCAATAATTGATATTTTTAGTCCTGCCGATGTCGAAGAATTAAAAATGTTTTATAACACAATATTGATGTGGATCAAGATAAGGACCAAAATAATTTAGGAGTGTTTGTGTACCTATGGATAATGTGTGACGTGGATAATAAGAGTGACAAGTTACTTACCGAAGCAACAAAAAAAAAAACAACATAAAAAAGTAGTAGCAGTTGTATAATAGAGGTTGTCCGCTCTGCTTGGGGGAATAATGAAAACCATTGGAGGATGAAAAATTCTCTTTGTTTTAATTCTATTAGGTATATTAATTAAAGATGTTTACCACCTTTAGTTTTAATCACTCCTAGAGGAATTTTTGGAGGTGATAAACCACAAGAAACCAAACATAATAAACTAGTGTCCCAATCAAACAATAGATTATATCTAAATGTGTGAAAATATTTTAGTGCTGTGTGCCAAAAGAAACTAAGACTAAAATGCATTAATTGATTTTTAAGGATAAAGATTAAATGGCTACTATTGTCATAATAGATTTTGGGATACTTAAATCTAAATCTTATTTATTCTATAAGAATTCATTCAATCAATTCCTTTAACATCTCTGTCATTTTAGGGATTTCTGGCAAAGTTGAATCTCTAAGAAGAGTATCAGTCCAAACACTGTTCAATTCTATTCAGTATTTACAATGGTATGATGAACAAGCGCATTGGTACCCCTGCATTATACATCCATGACCGCTGGCAACGGTTTTGGGGTCTTATACATTAAGCCTATCTTAGGAGACTGGCCAAGCTCCTATAGAACCAGCAGGAGGGAAGAAATTGTTTTGTGTCGCTCTCGCATTGGTCATACCTTTTTAACTCATATTTTCATTTTGAAGCGAGAGCATCAACCAGAATGTGTTCACTGTCATGTTCCTTTGACAGTAAAACACATCTTGATTGAGTCCAATCATATCAAGTATATTAGATCTAAATATTACCGTTGCCATTCAGCACGTCAGTTATTTGCTCAACCGGAGCTATATGATAAATTGCTAGCATTTTTAAAAGAGACAAACTTTTATTCAAAATTTTAATGGTATATATTTATCATATATTGCGTTTTAAATATTTATATATGTAAAGGAATTGATATATTTATTTTTAATTATATTTTCTGTGATATTTGTTTTTATTTACATATATGAATACATCCATAATGTTTTAATTTATTTCGTTAAATTCACCATATGCTTGGTGCCATAAAACAACATTTCATTTCATTTTATTTCTGGCAGTTTTGGTCAGATTTTCACGAAATTCAAACTCAACTTACATTACATTCAGGAAGTTACGATCCAATATGCGCAACCATTGAAAGGAACCAAGATCTTTGGTTTATAGACATGCATTTCAAGTTTCATTGCAGAACAGAGGGCCTGACAAGGACAGCTGTCTAGTCCTTCGGATGAGACGAAAAATCGAGGTCCCGTGGATACATTAGATAGCACGTAAAAGATCCCTTGGCAGTTGGAATTCGATATAAGAGTAGGCGATAGTGCCGCTGCCCGGGCAAAATTTCCCTCATAGCACACTGTATGGCGTATGCCCGTCTTCATTAGCCCAGTATAGGAGCAGAACAGTAGGACGTTAAACCCCATTTCATTTCATTTCATTTCATTTCAAGTTTCATCAAAATCAGATGAAAATTGAGACCTCAAGCTAAAAACATGATTTTTCGTACAATCAGGGGCCATAATCTATGAAGTTAAGGCACGATATATGCCAATATCGACAGGAACCAAGATCTTTGGGAGATAGATCTATATTTTAAGTTTCGTCAAAATTGTGACCTGTAGTGTCCACAAACAAATTGTGGACCGACGGATGGGCAGACAGGGGCGACGACAATATACGTCCACATGAAAATGTGGGCGTATAAAAACGAAAGGAAATATAGATCTGTATTTTGATAAGATTGTAGTGTTTGATTACTTATGGATATTGTGTGACATGGATAATAAGACAGGTTACTTACCGAAGCAACAAAAAAACAAAACAAAACAAAAAACATAAAAAAGAATCACGATAAATCGATTCAGCATCTTTAGATTCAATATGTGAATTGTGCGAAAGTGAATTGTATTCTTGAATAAATATCTAACAATTAATTTGAGTACATTTTAATATGGATTAAGCCAGGAAATATATGGTATTGTTTGAAAAATAGAGATGACGACCAGTGGCTTTAATTCATATTTTCCATTATTTTTAATATAACATGTACAACCCTATACATGTAAAATAAAGAAGGGAAATGAAATTGAGTTTAACGCCCTACACCGACTGGGCTAATGAAGACGAGTATACGCCATACAGTGTGCTATGAGGGAAATATTGGCTGGACAGCAGCACTACAGTCTAATCTTACATTGAATTCTAAATGTTAAGGGTTCTTTTACGTGCACACCAATGTGTACATGGCACCTCGTTTTTTGTCCCATATGCACCACTGACAAGGGGAAACCACAATGGAAAATCACAAAAAACTTTCTTGGTCAACACAGGGATTAAACACAGGACTTCAAAATTAGTGAGCTAACGTCTTACCATGGCTTCCAAAATAAAGAAGCGAGAGATGAAATATATTACCTGGTATAGAATTAATACCACAATCTATAACAACAGCACCATCTTTTATCCAATCTGCTTTAACAAACTGTGGTCTACCTATTGCTACTACCAATATCTCAGCTTTCTGTACCTTTAAATAAAACACATACAGATATAAATAACCAAGATGGAGGGAAATTGGTCTAACGTCTGCACTTTAGATTAAAATGTTAGTCATTCGATTCCCAGCTTGTATGTGGACAAGGAATCGGGTACCCTGTTCAACCTTGTGATTTTCTATGGGTCGTCTGATTTCCTCCCCCAATTATGCACAATCAAATTATGTGATACAACCATCGTTTCAAATGAACTTTTGAAATTGACCATCAAGAAAATCCAAAAATAAATTTTTCTGGATTATTTATAATTGAACAAACCTCCAGTTTTGGTAAAACCTACCTCTTCCTTAATATCTGCTGTTCTAGAATGACATACTGTTACAGTAGCATGGTTCCATGTTAATAAATCAGACATTGGTGCACCAACAATTTTACTTCTACCAATTACTACAGCTCTCTTTCCTTTTACTTCAATTCCTGTCAAAATATATTAATATAATTCTAAAACTTTTACTGGTGTGCATATAAGACTCGTACAGACATCTTATAGAGTTCTCCAAGTTAATAATAATATCTATAATTGATGTATAAATCATAATTTAAGCAAAATTATGTAATATGTAATCAAATAGTTAATAAACCATATCCTTCAGTGATAAAGTTCAAGCAATAAACATTACATGCCACTCCCTATTAATAGAATTATTATTATTATTTACTCTCACAAACATTTCATTGGATTTTTTTGTTGCACTAGTGGTTTGAGACTATAAAATACTCTTGGTCATCCAGCTTGCTCCTTCTAAGTAACTAATTGTGAAATTATATGTAAATGACTAAAGTTCAATTTCGCAAACACATAGATGTCATCTATGTGCCGCTTTCTATTTATTTTATCCAATTAAATAGTACGTCATACAATGCACTATCAGGATTTCAAATTTTATCAATGAAAACAACACTGCGATATTTCAAATCAGACGAGCCAAAAATTTGTCCAAAATTTGATAATATATTAGGATAGTCTTTAGGATAGTCTTGACATCCAGAACCAATCTGTGGGACCAGAGCATTTACTTTAAATTTAATAGTTTATTCTGGTAAAAATATCTGTACTATCATACAGGCCTATTATATAAAAATTCAAAGCTTACATTCTCACCGCTTCAGATTATTTAAAACAAATTCAGTCAATTATGAAAAACTGTTAATTTTGAAGTAGAAAGTCAGAATACTCTCATGCCTGACATGCAAGTACATTTATGTCAGCTTTAAAATTTTGAATAAAGTAGTGTAATATGTACCTGTTCTGTGTATAAGCTCTAAACATCCTCTTGGTGTACAAGGCACTACACAACTATCTAAATCACCTCTTGATAATTTACCAGCATTATCTTGATGTAGACTAATATGCAATTTACAAATAATATTTAAGACTGAACAGAAACCCACAAAAATTCTGAGAAGAACAGTGAGAAGTAAATCACAGTATGTTATGATGCACTTCAAAGGAACAGTGCCTCTATTTCTACAGACACCTTGATTTTTCTAGTATTTGCAAGGTTTGGATGAATGGTATTATTCCACAATAAATTTGAATCAAGACTCTGATTTTCGATAGTTTTACTCCTTATGGTTAACTGCACTATCTCAGTTAAATTGAAAAACATTCTCAATAGCCCTGACCTAGAAGTATTGAGAATGTAGAGACTTGGTTGATGACAATATACCTCCACAAGAAATGTGGATGAATAAAAGTAATTATGAAGATATAGAAATACCTGAGTAAGTAAATAATAGATTACTGAAACTTTAGATGATCACAATCTACTATCTGTTGAAAATAGACAACAGAATTATAGCTTACCCATCGACATCTTTAGAAGGCAGAATAGTATTCGTCACTAGATGAGCATCAATTAGATTTTCTGAATCCATTGGCAACTGAAAGTTTAAAGAATTTAATCTCAAACATTGTAAAATTAATATGACATCTAAAGAACTGTTTTCATATTTGAGAAAGTCACCAGTCTGAGAACCAACAGACCATAACTGGCTCTGACCTAAATGAGACACAAAAAATCAAAAGACAACTATTTACCAATATCAATTCTGTATTGAAAGACCTTCAAATTGATATATATTACAGGAAATTATCACCAAAATTGAGCTTTTAAGATGTTTGGTATACTTACATCATAATATTCAGAAAAACGCAATTGAAAATTATTAAAAAACCAGAGCAAAACTTTATAGCAACCAAAACTGCTTTGGGGACGTAAAAATTTAATTTTTGCCATGTTTCGAATAAGGGACCCACTACATATCTCTCAATTATCCAGAAATGTTCACATATGAAATAGAAGTACTGAACTGCACATGAAGCATTTTGAGATTATCTCCCCTTATACAACATTTTAAGCCAAAATCACTATTTAAGAAGGGTTCACTAATTCCATTATTTATTTGGGAAAAGACGAACACTTGCATCTCCATACGGCACATGGAAACAACAGGTATTCATAAAAAAGAATTGTGTAATTTTGTTTGCTAAACTATATATACAAAATCAATATGGAAATCATGTGATCTTAAAAATAACAATCACATTGTCCAGCCACATTTTACTGAATAGAGGAGGAAAGATAAGTGATCAATCAGGAGACTCTTTACATAGACCTTGTCAACCACTACTCCATTCTTGGTGCTTGGAGCATTAAAAGACTTGCTGTAGATATTCACTATTTAACCCAATGTAGATTGCACCCTAGAGCATATCATATCCCTAGAGCTCATTAACTCAGCAGGGCCCATCTCTAAGCCCATTTGTAGATTATTGTTAATCCTAATACTTTCTTCAAAATTCCAAATAACTAAAATCCTATTTTCTATACAAACAAATATTTAATTACATATTACAGATTGTCGTGTACTTTCCAATGATATAAAATTCATTTGTATAAAGTAGCAATTAAATTACTATAAATTATATTGAAAAGCCTGTTCCACTAAAAGTATGACTTTTCTCTGTCATAATGGTAAAAGATTTTTGTTTTGTTTCTTAAAAAAAAATAAAACACAAATATAGTCTCTCAAATATAACTATTAACCAGCGGTTGTCAGGCAAGATATGCCCACATTTTGCAAGAGATGGATAGAGAACAAGCTAAAAACAAAAGCGATTTTTTCATACAATCAATTACAATCAGGGCCATAATCCAGAAAGTTATGGTATGAAATGTGCAAATATCAAATGGGACCGAGATCTTTGGGATATAAAAATTTATTTTATGTTTCTTCAAAATTGGATAAAAACTGTGACCTCTAGAGGGTCCACAAATTTTGTATTACATACTTTTACACCATTTCCGTACAAAGAGCGGACAATTTGTTGGGCAATTTCATTTCAATTTTCCTGAAATTCGAATTCAACCTTCATTATGGTGGAATGGTGATATATTTAAATGGTTTTTAAAATAGAATAAACAATTATAACCTCTAGGTAATCCAGAAGATAAAAATGTGATTTTTCATACGATCAAGGGCCATAATTCAGGAAGTTAAGATCCGATATGCGCGAATATCGAAAGGAACCAAGATCTTTATGATGTAAGCATAAATTTAAGGTTGCATCAAAATCAGAAAAGTATTGTGGCCTCTAGAGTGTCTACAACCTTGATATACCACATATTTACACCATTTGCATTATATGAGGGGTGGCCATTTTGTCTGTCAGTTTTGGTCCGATTTTCACAAAATTCGACCTCAACCATCATTACGGTGTAACAGTGATATATTCACATGGTTTTAAAAATCGGATAATAATTATGACCTCTATAGTGTCCACAAGCTAAAAACGCGATTTTTCATACAGTCAAGGGTCATAATTCAGGACATTACGATCTGATATGCGTAAATATTGAAAGGAACCAAGATCTTTGGGTGATAAACATGTATTTCAAGTTTCATCAAAGTCGGATCAAAATTGTGAGCTCTAGAGGGTCCACAACCTTGATATACCATATTTTTACACTGTTTGCGTACGAGGGGCGGTCATTTTGTCCGGAAGTTTTGGTCCGATTTTCACGAAATTTGAACTCGACCGTCATTAAGGTGTAACAGTGATATATTCAAATGTTTTTTTTAAAATTGGAATAAAACTGTGACCTCCATAGGGTCCACAAGTTAAAAAACAAGATCTTAGGGAGATAAACCTATATTTCAAGTTTCGTTGAAATCAGATAAAAATTGTGACCTGTAGAGTGTCCACAAACAATTGTGGATGGACGGACAGACAGGTCGACGACAATATCCGTACACATGAAAATGTGGGCGTATCAAAATTCTGATTCCATATCACTCTCCACATTGTAGAATTATTGGCCGTAAGTTACGTCTTGATAATGTTGGAATGACCCCAAAGTCGTTGACACAGTGTGAATTTTCACCTCCGACATATTACTTATCACGCAATCAGCATTAATTTAAGAAGTAAATACAATAACAGTTGATTGTTCTTGCACTTTTGTTCGCTAATGCCGATGTCAAGAGTGCTTAGTAGGTACTTTTATTCGCTACTGACTAATGAGAGGGTACATACTGATTCGCTATCGAGTACAATGGGTTAAACAAATGAACACATATTTATGTAAAAACCTACCTGAACAATAATACCATGTACAGTAGGATCAGAATTTAACCTCTCTACTGTCTCCACTACCTAGAAATATAAAACATCATCATCATCATATTAATAAATATTTCAGCAATCTATTTCATCTATATATGTAAACTGTATGTCTGCTCAAAATTATATATTATTGCTGAAGAGTTAAGTGCCAATTATGATATTCAGATTTTGCCAAATTGTTCCGGAGAGTCAAAAAGCAAACATCGTACTAAACATTTAGCCAGAATGTTGTAAAGTATCTCAACTGATTTTCTAAAATATTTCTTTTGGAATTGTGCATGTTTTGTATTCACTCACTGTTCAGGTAATTAACAGACATTTTGAGATTTTTCATGCACTTTTTGGGATTGTTTGACTAAATACATTTTTGAATTATTGTTTCTGAGACATTCTTTTCATAGTTGCTGAAATTTGTAAAAGCTTGTGGTGGCCGTATGTGTCATTGAAACACATTAATGACATCATTTGAAGTAAAATAACATACATATTATATTTGATGCTTAATATTGTAATAATAAGAGATGATTATAATACCTCATCTTGTGTTGATGATCTAGGTAAATTAATATGGCTGGCATTAACTCCAACTTCACAAGCTGCTTTCATCTTCATGTTAATATAAACATTAGAATCTTCTCTTCCACCAACCTATTTATCATAGAACAAAAGACAGGTTGCCAGGCAACAAAACATACGTCCACAGCAGCTAAATCGTCTGGGCAGTCGCATATTTTTACTTTTGTAGGTAATGAAACAGTTATAATACACTAAAATCTGATTAAGAGTAAAAACTCATTACGGTAAATAATTATCAGAAAATTGTTAGAATTTGTTTGGCCCATATTAACGTTTAGTATACAAAACATATAATATCATGGATTTAGTTATCAAAAATCATTTAAAATCAATATACTTGTTCGTCTCAAGACCTTAAACTCTGTGTATCAATCTAAAATCAATCGAAACGATTATATATAGGCGTAAACACAGTGTATAAATATAAAATCATTCATATGAAAACTATGGTCTCTAAAGCATCCACAAGATTTTTCAAAGTAAATATCGGAAATTGTTGAAAATCAATAGGTTTCGTCTGATGAACTTAAAGATACATTCCCGGGTACAAACTGGGTGATTTGATTATATATTTTGACTAAAAACATATTCAAACTAATTAATTTATCATAATTTTGCTTCAAATCCTTCTCAAAACATTGCAATTGTTAGGGAATATCCTGGCTATAAAAAATCGATCAAAAGAGGTCATGTTTGTGTTACGAGACTTACCTCTCTCGGTACCTAGCAACAAGAATTCATTGCATACACATGACAATGTTGTCTTTATTCGTTGACTATTTATTACAAATATCGAAGCCTAATTAAATTCTCGGATTATCTACTGCCCGCGTCTTTTTCCGTGATTTTTATCTCAGAAAGTGTTGTATGTCTTCATAAAGTTTATCAACATGTACACCAAGCGCTCAATCTCCGCGTGCAACCTTCGACGTCACGTGTGCAGACAATTCTAATCGTTGTGCTGTCGATTAGGGAAACCCTTACATTTTTGTCCTGTATGCGCGCTCCATGAGTGTTTTTCAGGGAATCCATTATTTTTCTAGTAAGATTGGATATTTATACTTTCCATATATATATTTATACTTTCCATATATACCAAAATAGCCATACTTTTATTGGAAATAACCACCCGATAAATACTTTTCTGGGAAAGTATCTTTAAACACTGTATAAATAAGTCAATCGGATATTAATGTTCAGCCTCTAGAGCATTCACAAGATTTTTCAAAGTGATCAAGGGTCATAACTCTGGCAGTAATTATCAGAAATCGTTGAAAATCAATAGGCTTCTTCATCTCATGAGCTTAAACACTATCTATAAATTCAAAGTCAATCAGATATTAACTTTTTAGCCTCTAGAGCGTTCGCAAGATTTTTCAAAGTGATCAAGGCCATAAATCTGGCAGTAATTATCAGAAATCGTTGAAAATCTGATTAAATTACAGATCTATATCTGTTTCGTTTTTTTTATACTTTCAATGGCCTACACTACATGAAGATCTGACAAGTTATAGCGATAGGTCACGTCAGGGGTCAAAAGACCGACTTATGACCCTACGACATCAGACATTTGATTAACCAATCAGCATTGATGTTACTAGTGGATTACCCACAGTTCCGTGAAAAACACGCCTAAAGCTCGCCGTAACAGACCGTTTCATTGGCTTATACCTGACACCATTCAGAACACGAGTTAAATAACAACTCTTCCAGATCCAAGTGTAGTAAAGACATAAAAGAACTAGTGAAATGAAATGAAATGGGGTTTAACGTCCTCCTGTTCTGCTCCGAACTGGGCTAATTAAGACGAGCATACGCCTTACAGTGTGCTAGACAGCGGCACTACGGCCTACTCTTATATAGAATTCCAACTGTCAAGGGATCTTTTACATGCACACCAATACGTCACTGACAAGGGGGAAACACGCCAGAAAATCTAGATGAACTTTCCCTGCCAATGCAGGGATCGAACACCCGACCTCCAGGCTAGCGAGCCAGCATCTTACCCACCGTCACCCCCATAAAAGAATCCTTAAATGGCTTAGACTGCTGTACGGGCATAATCTCTCTCATATTACACTGCATGGCGTAATATCGTCTTCATTAGTCCATTACACCCATTCTGTGCCAAAAAGTAGGACGTTAAACCCATTTCATCTTTTAAAGAGAGCCACACAAAGAAAGGAAATACGTCTACACAGCAGCTTTATCCCCCATCCACGAAAAAAGTGATAACCATAAACAGCATTCAAGTTTATCCGAACAAAAAATTTGTGGCTCTAGAAAACAGACAAGCAAAATTACGCAAATTGAAGATCCATAATGCTGAAAAAAACATAGCGTTTGCATTCAATTTCAATTCCGTCTACTCATAATAATAGTAATTATAAGGTTTGAGAAAGATTCATACAATAGAAGACCAGAACAATTAAATCATAAAATAAGAAAAGTCACACCTGTACAACTGCTAAACCAGGTAAAAAGCCAGGATATTTCTGTTGCATGATTTCCACTTCATTCTTTAACTTTTCACGGATATCACTGTAATGTATAAATCAAATCATTATAATAGATAAATCCATCATTTTCCAAAAACATTACTGTGTAAAATGGTTTCAATCCTGCATATAGCTGGATGTGAAAACTGATCAAACAATAGCAAATCGATTTAAAAAAAAACAACCCAAAAAACAAACACAGAACATCATTAACAGATCCTTAATACTTTTGATATTGGCAAAATAAATCACTTGAATTGGCAACATTTTAGATATATCCTTTAAGGCGAGAAACAGTCACAACAGTCATACAAAATAATATTTGTTTTACAAACGACTTTAGATTAGGTCAGTGGTCTGTCCTTTCATACACTGCTAAACTTTATGGCTACAGTAGTTTTGGTCTCATAGCTACATGTAGTGATGGTTCCCTTATAATTTATCATCATATGGTAACAGGTCATTCTATGTACAAGCACAATTATAGTTATGGAATATATTACCAATTCGAATTTTAGTGTCAATGCTATTGCTAAACACACGTTTATTTAAAAAGGCTTTTACCAAGGGGGTGGGGGGTGGGGGTGAATGGCCGAATGGTTAGCACGTGCGCACTGTATTATACGGTCTGTCATTGAGTCAACAGGCAGGGTTTCAATTTCCCGGTTGTATGTGACAAGGAGTAGGGTGGCCTGTCCAACCTCAAAGGTTTTCTTTGGGCCCTCCGGTTTCATCCCACTACTAAAGACCCCTACACGCAAGCGAATTATTGAAATAAAAATGAACCATGTGTTAGTCCCAAAATGACCTAGTTTGTGTCGAGTGGCTGTTAAACCCCAGTTCTCTCTCTCTCTTTTATATAGATTATCCAGAGCTATTTTAATTTTAAGTATAGAATGAATAAAAATAAGGGAATATAGGGCCTACAGACTATTTCTATTTTTCTCGTTTTCTCTTATCTAGTGACATTCAATTACTTTTTTGAATTGTCAGATATCCTCTCACAGTCTCAAATAACAACTTTTGGTCTTTGAAGGAATTATTAGTGAGCAGAAATTCGTCTGTGTATCTGTTATCACTCGTCACTTCAGTCAGTTATGTAGAAGGATAACTCGTGTTTTCCTTTTGCTTTCGTCACTTCTGTTTCTTGAAATCTTCATTACACATTATCATAGCAATGATCTATGTGATAATGACTGACACCAATATTGTCCTTTAAATTGGGATATAATATTTTTTGTCCTGTCTTTCGAAGAAAGCAGGGGACTATTAAAATGGGTTCGTTTGTCGGTCTGTCTGTCCGTCTGTGGGGGGTTGGATGGCCGAATGGTTAGTCTGTCATTGAGGCTACTGGCGTGGTTTCGAATCCCTGGTTGTACGTGACAAGGATTAGGGTTGCCTGTCCAACCTCGTGGGTTTTCTCTGGGTCCTCTGGTTTTCTCCCACTGCTAAAGACCCCGAACGCAAGTCCCGAAATGACCTAGTCTGTGTCGAGTGGAGGTTAAAACCTATTTCTCTCTCTCTCCCCGTCCGTCTGTCCGGACTTTTTGGGACACAATAACTCTCCTTCTAATTGAGCTAGAATGTTCAACCATGGTGTAGGTGTTTATTAGGTCAATGCCTTGATGGAGTTCGAAGATGAGCATTTTCTGCTTAGGGTAAGCAGAGATAAGCAATTTGATTGGTTGATGCTTTGGGACACAATGACTTTAATTCTAATTAAGAGAGAGTGATGATATTTGGTGTATAGTTTCATTACATCAATACTTTGACTAAGTTCGATAATGAACATTTTCTGCTCAGGGTAAGCAGAGTGATAAGCAATTTGATTGGTTGATGCTTTGGAATACGATAACTTTAGTTCTAATTAAGTGAGAGTGATGAAATTTGGTGTGTAGTTTCATTACAGTAATGAAACTACACACCAAATTTCATCACTACATCAATACCTTGACCAAGTTCGATAATGAGCATTTTCTGCTCAGGGTAAGCAGAGAGATAAGCAATTTGATTGGCCGGGACTTTGGAACACAATAACTTTCCTTCTGAAATGAAATGAAATGAAATGGGGTTTAACGTCCTACTGTTCTGCTCCTATGCTGGGCTAATGAAGACGGGCATACGCTATACAGTGTGCTATGAGGATAATTTTGCCCGGGCAGTGGCACCATGGCCTACTCTTATATCGAATTCCAACTGCCAAGGGATCTTTTACGTGCATTCCAATGTATACACGGGACCTCGGTTTTTCGTCTCATCTGAAGGACTAGACAGCTGTCCTTGTCAGGCCCTCCGTCCTGCATCACTGACAAGGGGGAACCACGCCGGAAAATCTGGATGAACTTTCTCAGCCAATGCAGGGATCGAACACCCGACCTCCAGAACTTTCCTTCTAATTGAGCTAGAACATTCAAACTTGGTGTAGGTGTTTATTAGGTCAATGCCTTGATGGAGTTCGAAGGTGAGCATTTTCTGCTTAGGATAAGCAGAGATAAGCAATTTGATTGGTTGATGCTTTGAGACACGATAACTTTAGTTCTAAATATGTGAGAGTTTTGACACTTGGTGTATAGTTCTATCACACCAACAACTTGACTAATTTCGATAATGAGCATTTTCTGCTCAGGGTAAGCAGAACGATAAGCAATTTGATTGGTCGAGACTTTGGAACACAATAACTCTCCTTCTAATTGAGGTGGAATGTTCAAACTGGGTTTGTTTGATGCTTTGGGGCACGATAACTTTAGTTTTAATTAAGTGAGAGGGATGAAACTTTGAGTATAGATTCATTATATCATTACGTTGATTAAGTTTGATGATGCAAATTTTCTGCTTAGGCTAAGGAGTGATAAGCAGTTTGATTGATCAAGACTTTGGAACATAACAACTCTGCTTTTAATTGCGGTAGAATGTTTAAACTTGATGTAGATGTTCATTAGATTAATTTCCTGACTGAGTTCAATGATTAACATTTCGAGCTAAAGCTAAGCAGAGCTAAGCAATTTCATTGGTCGATGCTTTGGAACAAGATAACTTTGATACTATCTGATAGAGAGTGATGAAACTTAGTGTATGGTTGATAATTAGTTTGATTGCTTGATACTTTTGAAAAAAATAAATGTACTATTAATTAATATGTGTCATCTATTTATTTTGGGATTTCGGCCTCACTGTTGGCTTGTTATATTCTATCATATACCAATATAAAAAGTCTGTCATTAAAGATACATTATGTAAGATTTAGATAAAGAGCTAGCCATTCTTGCAATAATAGTTCGAAAATAGATAATGTAAAATGAATAATTTGAAAATTTCATTCAAATTACTCTATTGCGAGCGAAGATATTAGCCTTTGAAGGTTTGACGAGACGTGTGCAATAATTTCAACCACCATCCTGCTTGTTCAAAGCTAAGTCTTGCTCCTCCATTTTTAGCTTAAATCAAAATATGGCTGAACTGTTCTAATCTATTTAATATCGGAGAAATCCGATGCCATTGAGAGTTGATTATGGCCTGGATAAGTTAATTAATGTCTAATTAATAATTTAGAAAACATTTCAGGCCTAAAGAAAGACCAACAATAAGCAGATTTAGCTCTTGCATAATGTATGTTTAAGTTAGACATCGGTGCTATTCTGTGTTTTCTTGGATGCACAGTCTGTTAATCAGTATTATCATCCATGTTTAAAATGTTATATATACACACCATATTTTTTTTATATTCTGAAATAACCATGACCTTACGATGTATATTTTGGGACTACTAATGATTAAAGGAGCTAAATCGCTAATATTTGGGGACTAGACGGAGCGATATAAGTACCGAAAACAAATTGCAAAAGAATTTCTGTCACTGGAATCTAGTAAAGGGACGCTGAATAAGTGAGTTTGACGCGAGTTCTGATCTAGTTTGTTTTTGTGACACTGACTGATTGGACTGTTATCCAATCTGGTGATTGGCTTGGAATCCAGCCTGAGTTTTCGCAAGATAATTGAAACTTTGTTTTGCTCATTTTGTGAAAAAAGTCGTATTTCGCCATGGATAAGTGCATAACCTAAATAATGGTGTGGATGTCGTCAAGCTCACCACCAAGGGAGCGAATGGGATCAATCAGAGTGCTCAGCTTCGCAAGTTGGACATTACGGTCACCCCAAATGTTCATGTGCACGTACTCTGCAGACAGAATTTCACTCAGAGATAGGAAGAGAAAGCAATGTGCACAAATGATTGAATGTAATAGGAATGTATATAAACTGTAATTTTTTACTGTAATTAAATCAGTTATGTTCGGCGATGTATGCCAGAGGTCTCAATCGAATGGCGATTTCTAGCGTCTGGTTATTCTAGTCAGTCTACACTGATGGTATTTATTGTGCATGCTCTCCAGATAAGAATATGACTTCACTGTTTGATATGACTTGTGGAATATTAATACTAATATTTACTAATATTAATTCAAGGAAATCTACAATATCTCAATTAATACAAACAGGTAATTGAAAAAATAATGACTTGAAATTAATTGTGATTGGAAATATGAATTATGCAGCAAAATTGGTCTCAGAACTGATCATTTCAAGGGAATCAAATATTCGAATGAGTTAGAAGAATTGTATAGGGGCCTATAATAAAATAGGCTTATGATGTAACCATTACAATTTCAGTGATTTTATAAGCAAGAGCATTTGTACTGTATATGTAGGCCTATGTATATATTTATACAATTTATTATTTGACAAATATGTAGGTTATCTGAAGATAATAAATCAATTTGATATTTCTATCCCCTGACTAACCTCACTATTGTTATCATAGTAAAAAAATACCACAACACTACAGACACTAATCAAAGTTTATTCTTAAGATAATATAAATCTGGTCAAAACCAGTAGAATTAATTCCTTTTATTTGAGCCTTTCCTCCCTCCAACCATTTAACAATCAAATATTTTTTATTTCATTAAAAAACACTTTTATACGATATTATTTTTTAAAACCTATTTCTGGTACCTCTTCAATTTCCAGGTTTAAAATATCAGCAAT